CTAGCTAACTATTATTGTTGCACGGTATAGGTGCGCCCCAGTAACATCTAGCTATACGCTAATAACGCAGGTGATATTTAGCTCAAAATATTCTGCTGAAGTGATCAGTGACCAGGCTGAAGAGAGATTTTATTTGTACATTCTTTTTCAATTTTTTTAAGGGGAAATCCTGACGAGGAGGGTTTTCCATGTTGTGAACAAGTATATATAATTATGTACAGATGTTATTAGTGGTGTTATTAATTCATGAAATTTCTTGTGCATATGGGAGAGGGCGATGTGTGGGCGACATTTAATGTTTCCCTCACTGCTCGACTTTGTATGTCCTTATTTTTGAAGCATTAAAAATGAAACTGGCTAATAAATGTGCTCACACAGAAAAAATTTTGAATCTTCTAGCAACTTGGGTCCAGAAGCAGTCCTCTCTTCCTTCTTTTCTTACCGTCATAGTTGACAAAACTGTGCCGGCGAAATGAAAACGCTTTAAATTTGACTGAAATGACTGCAATTAGAACTCTGAATTGATAGAATACGCTGGAGTCGATAAGCTAAGTTGAGGGGCGTTTTTTTTTAATGAGCACACTGGTTTTTGAGGGTTGCAAATATTGATACTCGTTTTTTTTGCAAATCTCAAATTATCTTTCTCTGTCATTATCGTCATGCGCGCCAACTGCCTCAAGATTAGTCTCAAGCTATATTTTCAGTTTAAAACAAAGTTCGATTCAGTGATAGTGTTGCTGATCTGAGTTGCAAATGAATTGATTAAATTTGGCTTGTTTGAGTTGTTTTGCATTGGGGCGTTTGTTACGGGATTTGAGAAAACAGTTTTGTTTGTACTTGTTCCCATCTCCCTGTCAGATTAGCGCAGACTCCATTCGTGTGCAATTGGAAGACAAAAACACATAACTCGTTCGGTCGTTGTCGTCCTATTCGCGCTGAATATTTTGAAGAATCCTGTTTAAAACCGGCAATAAAATATTTCTTTCGCATCTCAAATCTAATTCGCAGTGTTTCGTTTACTTGTTTACCATAACAGTGGAAAGTGTTTCTGAACTGTTAACAGACGATTGAAAAAGGGGGGATCACCCTTTACTTGTTTTCTAGTTTCAGATGTAACAAAGTGGCGGCCCTGTCCCCCGAAGGGGCTGCCTGGTTTAACTCTTCGGCTTCCATATGGTTTTTCTCTTAAAGTCTTTTGGAAGTTTATTATGTCTTAAATGTTATTCAGGGATTGCAAAACTCCCTATATATTCGCTCTGTATGAAAGACGTTGATCGGAAGGCAAGTACTAACAGTAGGTACTAGCTACTAGCAATTCTCTCGAAGACTCTCTTCCAGCTGGTTTCTTTAGAATCAGATTGATGGCGAGTTTGACACTCTAGCGTATGCCAGACCAGTTTACCACCGGAACTAGTGGACGATTCGTTGGAGGATGTCGTGAGGCGAATCCTAGGTTTGCACATTAGCAGCCTTGATTGTTGTTGCGCTATGTGCGCGACCATTAATTAAGAGTCTGAATTAAGCAATTGGGAATGGCCGATTTTGGTGCTCATCGCGCAGTCTTGCCGTTAACTACCGTTGTCTTGAAAGGTTTTAGGTTTTTTTAGAGATAATTCTGTAAAATTATCAGTGAAGTCAGTATTTACAAGAAAAATTACCGAAGTTTTCGAAAAAATTCAGGCATTAATTCTGGCGTAGAAAAGTAGTTTTGGAGAAAGCTGATAAATTAGTTTTTGGAGAAAATTGACTTTTTTGGGAAAATATTCTCTTAAAATTAGTTTTTTAGAAGTGATAGATTTTTGAAAAAAATCAGAGTTTGTTTGAGTAAGCTGTATTTGTTTGTTATTCTTCACCCAGAATTTTCTCCTCGTTTACACCGCAAAGCAAAGTGGGATTTCTGCAAAACGTTGCCCTTGCGAAAAAACACTATTTTCTTGCATGTTCAGCTTTCGTACCTCATAGCTTTAGCAGTAGAGATTGGTTTGCTTTGGCGCCGCTTTCTTCCTCCGCTCTCTTACCTTTCTCTTTTCGTCTTCTGTCTCCCATTCCGGAGTTGCTGTCTTGAATTTTTGAAGGACACTTTTTTTTAAGAACCATTCAAGCTCGGGTCATTTCTTAACGGTTTTTCACTGACAGTGAAAAAAATAATCGGCCAGCGCGCCTACTGCCGGTGCAAAGATGCGTTTTTTTTGCATAATTCCTGGCAGATTTTTGTCTCTAACGGCATCGGTTTTTTCGGCAGATGCTCTTAGCTAAACGAATTGAAACTGATCGCCAGGGCTGTCAGAAAACACCCTCTCAAAATTCCGAAATCCTAACTTTTCAGTTTCCCAAGTTAGCAACTTATCCGCAAAAAACTTTTACGGGCCTGTGAGTGAGAACCACGCACACCCAGATCCTGGGTTTGAACTTATTAAGGCCTATTTGGACTGGGTATATCCCATTAAAATTACAGCCTTCTAGTTTTTCAGGTTCCTGCGTTAACAATTTACGCATACAAGACTTACACGGGCTCGTACGCACACTCGGAGGCTGGGTTGAAATCTAATAAGACCTACGCGGGGAACATCCGCTTAAAATTTCAGCTGTCTAGCTTTTATGGTTTTCGAGTTAGCACTTACTCGCCAAGAACTTTGACGGGCCCGTACGTGGATACTACCACGCGAGTAAAAGCGCCCACTTTGGGGATCGGGGCTCGTATGTGCGTGTAGATTAAGTTCCCAAAGTTTCAGCTCTGTAGCTTTTATAGGTCTTGAGATGAAAAATCGGATCAGGCAGACACAGACACACAGACAACCCGTCGTCAGTTTGCGTTTTCTGCATTGCATAGCTGCAAAAAACGCATAAAAACGATCGCTAAACGGAAATTGTTTATTTTCGTTTATTCAAATTTACGATGATTTACGGTATTGAGCGCACAAGATAGGTGCGAAGCAACAATCATTAATTATAAGTTTGGTGCAAAAATGCGTGATCGCAATGGCAGGCCTGATGCGTTCCAGCCTGGTTCATTGTTCTGGAGCAACGGCCTGTGTAACGGAGTGCGGTTTGTACGCTAAAAATAAATTTTTTGCACTGGAAGCGATGTTTCAGATCTTGAACTGTTTGATCAGCCTGCGGTAAAGGCGGTGACACTAAGTGAATGCAGCCAACTCCGACATACTGCATTAGTGACGACCAGAAGGGCAGTGTCTACGAACCGGCCGAAGACACTTTCCTGTTGCTCGATGCTCTTGAAAAGGATGCTGAGGTTATTTGCTTCATCACTTCATCACTTGCGGGTCGGTTTGTTCTTGCAGTATGGTTGCTGGGAGGTCGTATTAATGGGTCTGACTTATCATGCGTTTTTGCTGTGCAGCGCTATACCGCTGCAACAGCTACCAAAAACGCATATTCTCGAGAGATCGTCTGCGCATGCATGTGTTCGGAAGCGAGGGAACTTTGTCACCCACTTTCGTCTCAGCAATCAGGAAAGCTCCCGGGAAAATAAGCATATTTCTTTGGCGGGAAACGATTTCGCGAAACAGGCAAGATACAAAGAAGATGAAACTTTGCAGGGATATTCTCTGGGCAAGTGCGAGCTAAAGTTTTCAAATCCAGCTGTCGCACACTTCTATAGCGTGTACGTCAAAATTTGCAAGTTGGTACTGTGCTACCTCGAAAACTTGCAGGAAAACAATGGCTGGAATTTTGTCAGCATATTTATCGCTCATATTGGAAATCGTATACCTAAAATGAGTACCCATTTTCACTTGTTCCACGACTTAGGGCACTTCAAAAATATTTGTAGCGAAGTGGCTGTTTCGGCTACCGAATAAGATGAGGAGCAGAAACTTTGCTAGGATATTCTAATTTCAGGTGCGGTCTTAATTCTGCTTGGAACTGAAATTCGCCGCAGGTGGTTACAAGAAATACTCAGCTTTACTGAAAAGTCAGAAACGAGCGCGTTTTGCAGCAAAAGAACGTTTG